CCCTAATAATATCTATTCAAGAAGTCATTACATCTATTCAAGAAGTCGTATTGCATGTATTCAAAGTGATCACTTATTTAACATCTATTCAAGAAGTCATTACATCTATTCAGATAGAGGTTGGAGTTATCCAGACACCCCAATAACATCTATTCAAGAAGTCATTACATATATTCAAGAAGTCGTATTGCATGTATTCAAAGTGTTCACTTATTTAACATCTATTCAAGAAGCCATTACATCTATTCAGATAGAGGTTGCAATAAAAAATAATAAGATCTTAAATTTATTAAGAAGTCCGTATATTCAGAATTCATGAACTCTTATATCGAGAAATTAAAACAAAACAGCATTAATGGATTCACATAGTTTATTTACAAAAAATATTATTTTCTATACACCACTTATTCAAATAGGATACATTTTTAAAAGCACATATATTAGTATGGTATATACAATTTTGAATATCCGACGACATTGAATATTTATCACTTAATGTTTCTAAATTAGGACAGTTTACGTTTTCTAGATTATGTACATTATCACTTTCTATTATCTTCTTCAACCACCGTACTTTTTCAAATCCTTTTGCATAAACACGTTTATTTTTACAGAAATCTAACATCAAACTCTTATAATTACAATAAGGCACATATCCTTCATTCCATAATATTCCTCTGTTTTTTTCTATCCATGAAACTTGTATACGTTCCTTCTTTGTTAGGTTATAAAATCGGTATGGTGGTTTAATCAACAACACAAGCATACTCTTGTTACAAATAATTGCGATTTCTTTCGGTATAAATTGATTGTTTTCGTTTTTAAAACCTTGAATATCCATAACCACGTTCATGATATTTTTCGAACAATGTTACTCAGTGGTCTATACTCAATAAGACGATCGTTTATGATCAGACAGTAGCCAGTTGTATTTTCAGGTATATCTTTTGAAGATTCGATCTCTAAACGAACGTCAACGGGTCCTGTTTTCAGTGAATCATTTTGTCTTGAACAGTCAATAACGAACAGTGGAGCTTTTTCCTCAAATGCTTTCAAATCAAGCAAGGGATCGATACTCGTGTTGTAATACGACTGACGAAAGTTAGCATACATTTCGTATAATATACTATATTTGTCTTCATCAAATTTCAAATTAAGTGAATCATAAGGAAAGTACTGTGAATTTAAAAACAACTTGACATTTGTTATATTACAATGATCAAAAACAGATGGACTCTTCGATTTGTTCAGTTTTCTGTTAGTTTGTAAACCAAATATAACATATCTTGGTTTTTCTAACTGAGAAGCAGTTTTCACTGACCACGAGTGTTTTGTTGTCTTAGGTAAAAGAGGATATTCATATAAATCCCAATTCCGGAAAGCTAGTTGTATGGGTCTATCTTTTTCTAAATGCTTAAGTAATAATAATCTATTACGGTCTGAAACTCTAACATGCGGTACACGCCATTGAACTTTTTGTATGTCTATTGCCACGTTATCTTTGCTATCAAGTATAACACTATTTAAAACTGTATTACTTCGATGAAGTATAAGTTCATGTCTACAATTGGCGACAATTTTCTTATAATCTTCTGCAAATCCTAATACTTTATTTAGTGGTATAATAACAGAGAAATGACCATCTTTTCGAGTGGACTCATTTAAATTCCAGCCCCACAGTGCTGCACTTCTACTTTCTCCTTCATTCATTGAGATGAGAGATTTAATGGTTGTTGTGATTCCCGTATTTTTAACATGATCTATTTCAACACCATTTAGTTCGTATTTTATGTATTGAAATAAAAATAATATCGGATTTATAAATTTAATATCTTTTGGTGTTTTTTTTCCTGCTGCATCTTGTTCAAATACACTTGCACACCCCTCAATGTAAATGGAGCTTGCGGATGGTAATATATAAACATCTTGCTGATGAATAGGTATTCTAATTTCATCGTTTTGTTTATAGCTATGATTGTAGGGATTATAGCTGTGGATTTCATAGCTTTCAATGGAATTATCTTGCTGTGGTGGGTCCGATATTTGCAACATGTTTATTTTTTATTATTTATTTCTAAACCAAGAGAAAGAAGAAAGTTTTTATTACTTTTAGTAATTTTCTTTGTTGTGCCTAATCGTCTTCTCCCTTTGAACACTGGAAGCGGAATATTGAACTTTTGTTCATTCAATAAGGTTTTATTGTAAACATACATATTGATTTAATATTATAAAATATAAGATAATGTTTTATGATGACTACTATAATAAATATATACTTAGCACCCAATTCTGAACAATGTTCGTGTAGGAATGTGCTCCACTGGTTTAACATTTCATTTTATTTATTTATTGTCTTTGTAGTTGAATCATAAATATTTAGTTTCCAAAATGATGTCAGAAATTTTAAACACAAATGCCCGCAGTTGTATAGATGATTTCCTTGTAAATTATCATAATTATATTGAATACGTGGTTCCACATATGCTATAAACTCTTTCGGTGGTTTTAAGTTACCGTAACTATCGAAATATTCGATATAATCTTTAAATTTTCCATAAGCTACCCAATGAGTTCCAGAATTTCTAGAAGAATCTAAATTAATCACACCACATTCCATTAACCATGGCACCTTCGGCAATTTGTCTCTCATAAATACACCACGAAAGTGAGGAATATTTTTTGTGTGCTTTATAATATCTATATTAGTTAAAGCTCTATTGGGTAGCCCAGTATCTAGTTTTTTTTATTTGAAACATAAATTCCTAAACAACGTTTGTACGGCTTCAGATGTAATCCTTTTCCAATACACAACGCTTTCATTTTTATATTATGCCTCTTCAATTCTGATAGTTGTTTTTTGGCTGACTTATAATTATTTACAGCTTTGGTGATTCCATCAACACCCCCCGCTAAACTTCCTGTAGCAGATAATCCGGCAAAAATAGGAACTAATGGTAGAAATCCACCGGTTTTAGGTACAGGTATCACTCTCGGTAACGGTACGGGTAAGTCAGAAGCCAATTCTTGAGCAGCTGCATATGCTAATTCTATTAACATTTTCTTGCATTTTGGTTTTAGTTTGCGGATATGTTTTTAGTATGCGAAATAATATTGCTCAATATCGTTTTTGTCATACCCGCTCCAGTTTTCTGAGCGGTTGCTAATTTGTCTTTTCTCTTCTGATTCGCGTTATCGGAATTATCATTTAAGTTTTTCATTTTCAATAATATTGTTTGCGAATACTTTATTCAAAGCGGTCTTTGTTATGTTAAGATCTCAATACAAATGATTACACGAAATTTGAATAGCATATTTATATACACTATATTTTACAATTACAAACGATTTGATTTATCAATCCAACTGTTTTCACTTAACGGAAGACCTAACCACTTAACATATACTTTGTTTCCTTTGCGTTTCAAAACTTTTTCAACAAGATATATCTCAGGGTGTACAGTTTTCTGAATTTCTTCACCATAGAACGCCCCTAAAATTGGTCTTGATTTTGAATCTTCTAGCAAATATGTAGGGGGACTGGTTTGTTGGATTTTTGTAATCTTGAATATTTCTGTAGACCAATTAGGTGTAAACCCCTTTTCAAAAAATCCTTTGTATTTACTGATTCTTACGAAATCTCCAACTTGAAATCTTTTTCTAGTCAATACTTTTTTACATTGTGTATTGTTAATGTATCTCTGTAATACAGTTCCTTTATTACTATGATTAATTGTAGCTGGTGCTTTTCCGACTGTTCTATGATAAGCGTGATTGTATTCGTAAACTTTTTTGTCGAGGGTTCCATCATTCCAATTATAATTTCCTTTTAAACTAAACTCCTTGTACAAGCTTGTCTTGAGAGTTCTTATAAGTCTTTCTACGATTGAGGCTTTTTTCGTAGAATATGTAGAATAATGGTTAATATTATACTGTTTGATAACTTTTTTAAATAAATTATTATAAAATTCTTTTCCCATATCAGTTTGTAAATTTTTTGGGTAACGCCCCCTTGCTAATAATGTTTGAAACTCTTTAGACACGTTTTCTTTAGTTTTTCGTTTGAGGGGAAATGTCCAAGCATACTTTGAGAAACAATCGATAATCACCAATATGTATTTGTATCCAGCATTAAATTTGGATAAAACTTGCATATCTATCAAATCTGCTTGCCAAAGGTCATCTATATCCCTTAACAATACACTTCTCCGGGGAAAGTTCACTCTAGCATTCTTATGAATTTCATTAACGACGTCGGCTTTGCTCATAATGCTTGTTCAATTTTCCTTCGAGTCCCTTCAAAGCAATGTCTTTTTCAATATCTTTTATACGATCAACTAAGATCAAAATTAACTTTTCAATATGTACTAAATTGTCAGAATTCTTCTTAACAATTTTATCAACATAGTCTTTACTAACAATATCGGGTAATTCAGCTTTATCTGAAGATGAGATTTTAATTACTTCTACTTTAAAATAATCTACGCCAGTATCATTTGTTTTCTCGAGATTCATGTCTTATATTCATTAGAATACTTAGGGTAATGATGATACTAAAATAGATTTTATTCTTTTATTATACCGGCTTCCTTTAATTCTTCAATAATTGATACAATTTCATTATCATGATTGTTGTTACCAGCGCTTTTAGATGCAATTAAAAGTTTCAGTCTTTCAATCAGCTCATTTGGATCATCCCAATAAATATAATCTGTGTTACTTTTATATTGTTTTAGTTCAGGCAAGTATCCTCCGCTTTTTAATTGTGGTAACTTTTTGACTAAATCTGTATTGCGTTCATTTAGTTGAGAAAATAAAGGCTTGATGATTGTGCAGTATTTTAATCCTTTATCACCTTTTAATTTTCCGTTCGGGTCAAAATCACGTTTGTGTGCGTTAGTGTTAATTAACATTTCTTTGTATTCACTTTTGTCTTTTTCGGTCACAATCGTAAGATCAGGTTTATTACGCATTAGAAGTTCCTTTAAACCAGCGGTTAATTCATACTTCTTGTCATTGATGGTAATTATGTACCTTTTTTCCGCATGAGAAGCATCAGGTATATAAGATAAACTAACAGCACTATTTCCCATCATAAGCTTTTTATTTTTGGTTTGAATGCCAAATGGTACATTAAAATGTTCATACATATCCATCATGTCTTCTTTCTTTAGAGATAAAAGAGTGTCGTTACCGTTACTTTCGTTTAATAAACGTTTACTGGCATCGTTAGCATATTCATAATATTCGGAATGGTCACTAGAATCTGCGTTGATTATGTCTTTGAAATTTTCATAATCTGTAGAAGAGTTCAAGTCCTCACTACCACCAGTTTCATCTATTTTGGTTGACATGGTGAAAGTGGGGATAGACTTTTTATTTTTGAGCAATGTTTCTAGAGGTTCTGTAATAGATTTAAAGACGTTTTTGTATTTCAGATTAGCTTCATCTTCATCACATTGAATCATTTTTATTTTATTCTTTATATTGTCCACCGATTTAACGAGTTGCTCTTTTAAATCTATTTCCATTGTACGGATTATTGATAAATCTACCAATTCAAACGAACACTCGACTGCAAGTGCGGTATTCAGACAACAAATTGCTTTATATGAGGATTTTATAAGTAAATAAACGTGTCAAATCCTTGTCTATACCTTCGCATATTCATTGCACAATCTTTATTTATTAATAAAAAGCTAAATTGATCTTGCCATATAACAACACAAAGCCGCTTAAATGTAGACCAATCTAGGTCTGTATTTACATGCTCGTTGTATATATGTCTTAAATTAATATCATCTTGTTTGAAAATAATCAACACATTGACGTTGTCCCTGAGCAATTGTTTAGGTATTTTCGAATAAGTTTGAGATAAATAAAAACAGTCTATCTGTCTGTGTCTCCCCATAGCAAAATAATTACGAATATTCATTTGGTTTTCACAAGCGACATCATCAAAAATCATAATTGAATTTGTCAAAGCATCGTTGGGATGAAGAACTTCCTTGTTCTCGTTAAATATAAATAGTTCTGCCCCTGGAACACCTTCCATAACTTGTAACAATAGATTCAACATAATGTTAGTTTTACCACAATTGGAAGGACCGCATACTATGCACCGGATTGTGTTTGGTAACAGCGAACTATGTTTTACTTTTTCTGAATAATTTTTTACTTTAATATTAGCTACTTCTAAAGTTTGAGTTTGTTTTACGAACTTCATCGTGAAGTGAGAGGGAGTTGAATGTTTTAGTATTTATATACTCGTCAATCAGAGGAATTGAAACTATGAACAAAACAAATGCGATAAGTATAATATAAATTCTTTATTTAAATTTAGTACAAGCGTATTTACAAATCTTAATCTTACAAATATTAAAAGTAAAAAACATACATTAAAAATAAAAATAAAATATATAAACATTAAAATAACGAAAAAGTAAAAATTCCTTATCGAATTACAAATATAATATACTTTACAGCAGGCAAATATCATTACGAATGTTAGTGAAAGATAAATTAAAAAATTGTTTTGTAATGCCCCCAAGGTAAGGTGTTGACTTTATTTACTAGTATCTGCCTTTTATCATCAGTATTGCTTAAAACCGTTTTATTAAGCTCTTGAGAGTAAAGTACGTGTTTGATTGATTTAATTAAATTCATTTTACATTTTAAATCTTTGACGTTGAATAATGAGTCTTTGTATTGTGATAAAGTAAGATTCTTAGTAACGCACTTAGAAACACCTTTAGCTTTATTGATTCGTGTTTTAATGCTGTTCAGGGAATAAAGTTTTGCTCTAAGACCTACAAATTCTCTAATCACATCACCCCCAAGTTCGTCTTTAAATAAGCCGGGGATTTTTGCATTCACCCTTTCTATGCAGTATGGATTATTTAAATCAAAGTTACTAGTATCAAATTCCGACAAATTATTTTTGATATCTCTGTAAACGTCCTCTGTGAATATCAAGTATAGGAGGCTATCAGTATCTGTATAACAAAGTTTTGCATTCTGATTATATATCTTTTTAATAAAATCGTAATGAAACTTGTATAGATGCTGTTTTGCGTATTCTAAAACTGAAAACCCAATGTAGATAGGTCTGTCGAGCACAATCTTTTCTGGAGTAAATTGAGCAGCTAGAAAATTTTCTGAGAACACTGAAATATTTTTTAGATTTGGGCGAGAAATAAGTGTTTCAGCATCAAGTCGCTTTTTTGTTAAATTATATTCATCTTTCCAAGTTGTGATCAATTTAACACTTACTTGTTTGCGTCTATTTTCAATAGTTTTACCGAAAATTGCATTATTCATGAGTTTAAAAAAGTCTTTTTCGAAAACTGACACAGCGGATCGCCGCAGATTTGTATTCAAATCTATGTATTTCTGTAAAAAATTTGACTGTTTAAAGCTCAGTATACGGTGAATATTTCTTAAAATTAAACCATTTCTCAACATTTCTTTCAAGTGAATGAAATGAACAACGTAGTTATATTTATCATATAAACTCGCAATCAATTTCGGAGACTTTCCTCCCGGGGGAATAAATTTCTCCGGAGCGAATGGCAAATCACTGTGCAAATTATGCAAGTTCTCAGGATACTCTAGATCCACTTCCAAAATAAACCCAGTGTCTCCATTTTCAGGTACTGTCAAAATATTAAACGTTTCAATTTCATATTTATTTAAAAATTTAAATTCAGAATAAGGCAAACTTTTAGTCATTGCATGTCCGTACAGATTGTTACAATCTAAATATATCAAATAAGATGACGGATTGAAATCATCAAATTCTGGTAAGTATTTATTATTGGCTTTAGCGTGTCGTAATGAACACTGAACCAATCCTCCGCGTATTCCTTTTTCTAACATTTGATACATTTCCAAATCATCTATCAAATCTAGTTCAATGCCTGTCGAAAGCAGCATAGCATCCCAACTCAAGCTCGGTGATGTTACGTAATAGGCTGGATCTAATTTGTAATATTTTAAACTCAAGTTTCTGAAATTTTCAAATACATCACATAATAATAAAACGTCACATTTAAGGTACAAATCGGTATATTCACCGAGAGTATTAATATTGAATACATTCCACACAGAATGTGCATGATTAAAGTCTTTATCACTTATATGTTCCATTTTCAAAATATTAAAAAAAAATTCTTTTGAAGGAAGTTTAGTTTCTTCGTATCTATTCCAAGAATCCATGTAATCGTACGGATAAATACCTTTTGATTTTAATAAATGCAAATGCTTGCTTTTAAATTGCATGGATAAATTGGTGAAATCTTCATCTGATAAATTGTTACTCAACATGTCTAAACTTGTGCTCAAAAACTGAAATGAATCTATAAATTTTATTTGTAATGGACGTGTAAATTCTTTTAAATGTATGGTCTTTGTAATTGTGAGGTACTTTTCTTTAGTTTTCGGTATAATTGTAGTTGGACCATAGTATTTTGCTAATTCGCTAATAAACAAATGTGAGTCATAGTTAGCTAAATTATGAAAGACTACTGGTATGAATGGACACACTCTGAACATCAAATTACATTGTGAATGAGCTGGCCCTCTATATTCAGAAGTAATATGATCGTGGTCACGAACCTTGTCATCGAATAATAAATGGCTACAAATATGACACGATGTAGCGTTTTGATAACTATTTTCTTGTTCTTTCGTCAAAGGCGTCATTGGATTCTTATCACATAATATTTTATAAAGGCATTTCACATCTGCAATCAATCTGTTAACAAACACTTCTACACAATCCGAACCCCTGTAGGTAACGAACTTGTTTAAACTCGAGTCATATGAACAACAAATATAATACGCAAAACATGAAGGTTGATGAACTTTTAAATTACGTGTATTTTCGCTACCATTCTCTGTACAGTTAACTAATAGACTTTCGAAATCAGCATATATAACAAAATAGATTTTTTGCTGTCTCTCAAAATGTTTAAATCCGATTGTACTATTTTTTTTAGGTAAGACTGTCAACACTTGAGAGCAATCATGGTTTGTATATTTAATTTCAGAAGAAAAAAAACGTAAACAATTCTCACACATATATAGATTCCCTTTAAATTTACTAATCAGACGTTTTACTAATCGTACAAGATCTTTAATGAGGCAGTAATGACCTTTGACTCCTTTTTCAAAGTATAATAAATTTACATGATTGTTCTTTCGATTTTTAGATAAATATAATGGACCAGTTACTAAACTGCTTGAACTTAATCCATAAATGTTGATACTGATGTTATTATTAGCTTCAAACAATTGTATATCTTTACACGAGACGGAGGGAAAGTCATACCGTCTGTTTTAAAGACAGTTGAATGGTGAGGATATGAACTTGTTTCGCATACATTACTTTTGGCGGGAAATAATGCAGCTACTATACTCCATAGAAAACAGTACTCATCTTTATTCTGTATATTTATGCAACTTTTACTATTCTTGAGAAATGATGGCAGCTCTATGAACGTACCACCTCTCATAGGACAATATTTGTTTATATTCAATTCTAAATGACTTATTGAAACCAGAGACCAACCAGATTCACAGTGTTCAAATTCTGAAAGTTTTTGTTTAAATGTTTCTATAGCATTCATATACAACTCATTAATATTAGTGTTGTTAAAAACGCAATCAAACTTTGTATTAAAAGATTTTAACTGTTGCGTACTTGACCGTGGTAACTCAAAATAAGCAAACAGTTCAAAATTTAACTTCAGACATGTGTGTTTCAGTATTGATAAATGGATAACATTCGAAACATCATTTTTATAACTGTACAGGAACGCCTCGGGTGTGAGGTACTCGACTTCCTGTGCAGGGTTTATGCGGTAAGTCACAATTCTGTTCTTAAATGCAGTCTTAATAATGTCAATATTTTTGAATTCAGTTTTTAATAAACAATTCTCTTTGTGTACATTCGTTCTCATATGATAATGATATTTCTTTTGAGGAATTTCGATGTTGCACATGTCACACTTGACCGCATTGGCTACACAGGATGTCGCTGTAAAGTAAAAAGATTACAAATTAAGAATAAAATAATATATTTATTTACTTATTCATATATATTTATAGTTAAACACATTTAATTACTACAATACAGGCCAGTAAAAATAATGCTAATAGTAAGTACTATTAAATGAGGGTGGGCAATTTTTGAATTCTTTGCGAGTTGTCTTTATGTAATCTGTTAGATGTGCCAAAGCTTCAGAGTTGACGTTCGTTCTGTTTTTTATAGTAATAATACTATGACGCCATCTATTTATCGGTGCAACGTTATTGATCTCGTTGCATGAATAAACTTTTAACTCAACGTAATGAGTGCCAGTTTTATTGTCGTCTGTTTGACGACTTATCCCATTTGCTAGCTTTCGCGTAACGTAAGAGTAAATTGGCGTACCCTTTGTTGAACCTGTCGAGCACCCTTCTTCTTCATCACTCTCGCTGCCGAAAAGCTCAGCCGTCGCCGCCTTCATGACGGGGGTGATTGGGTTGATGACGGTTTTCCTTTTCTTAGGCGCAGTGGTAGTGAACGGCTCACCTGTCTTCTTACTTGTCGAAGGGTCACATCTCGAATGCTTCTTCGAGGATTTCGAGAGCTTAGGCTGCACCGTCTCGCACTCGTCTTCTGACAGGAATAAATCTTGTGCCAAAGACCTAATAGAATAAAATATATGAGTAGTACATAGTAAAATGATTGAATAAAAACATAAATTGTTTGGTAATAATATCTTGCGACAGTGAACTCACAAAAACTGATCGAATGATTAGTAAAACTAGGACAACGATAAAATAAGCACAGGTAAAATATTAAACATTTTGGAATCGAGTATGCGCATTTGTACTTGTCACTAATTTTGCTCCCCAGCAGGATTCGAACCCGCGACTCTTCATCACAGTAAATAGATTCGGATTTGGACTAAAAAATAAATAGTCCGAAAAAACATAATGGAATAAAATAGATAATTAATTATAATTGATGAATAGTTCGAATAGATGGCACAGTTATGTAACATAAATTTATTTTAGTACTTAAAATGCACTTACATTGTTCTTAGTTATTTGCAGTGGTTGATTTGTTTTTTTGAGCTGTCCTGTTGTCTTGTAGGAAGGTGATCTGAGCAATAATCATGGATAGAGAGGACCGGTCTATATAGGCCTTCATACGCGTCACGTTTACCCATATTTGTAATTTGTATATGAAGCAAAATAGGAAAATGCACAGTCAACATAAATGCAAAAACAAATACTCAGTATGATATGCAGCAATCATCGGTAAGTTAATTCTAATATCGATTCTAATTCTAAGTGGATAAGGTAGCATAAAAATAAAATGTGAAATATTGATTGGATATTTTGCATTTGTAAATGTTTTTCTTTGCTTAATAAATCGATTGTATAATTTCAACCTTCTTCTTTATGCAATAAGAACTATAATTTTGTCTTACTAAATAAATGATAGAATTGAGTGTGCGATGTATCATTTTGTATTATCATTAATCTTAATAACATAATTTTATTGAAAATATACCTGCTTACAGAATTTTTCATACAACAATTCACTTAATACTACGAATACAAAAGTTACAAAATTAAACCCCGGCAACGAAACATTGGTATCAAAACTACTAGTCATATCATATCATCAACACTGTTACACGTCCCACTGCTGGGCATGGGTGTTCATCATAAAAATCTTTATAAATATTGTACTACATCACACTTGCTGCATCATGTTCTATATGATATATTTGAAGAGATGTTTTAAAGGTATGTTGAAACGAAAGGTTCTTATTTTTTAGACTATATAAGTATATGATGTAGATACCTAAATAATCGGCATAATTGAGTTCAATGTAACGATACCTCATAACTTGGAATCGTTTTAGCAGTTTTGGCTCAGTGATAGAACAGATGAATACATACACACTTAGATACATACACTTAGGTATGCTGCTGAAATCATAACCCTCCTGTTCGCTCCGCTGTAGTCGAGTAATCATAAATGGAAGTAAACACAAACGGAGTCATTTTTACTCTCGGCGTCGAGCACTCCATATTAGATTTATTGATGAGTATTGAATAAAAAATACAGTAAGTACGATGTTAATTTTGAACCCTATTAGCACTGCCTTCACTCAATATAAACGGGTAAATTGGGAGTAAAATAATCATTATTAAAAAACTTATTTTCTTGTGCAGTTGTCATAAAATGTCGGTAAGTTAGCCAAAATTTATTTTTAATTTTCTTTAGATTAAATTTGTTGAGAAACCTGTACAGGTTTTATATACTGTAAATATAATAAATAAATAAATAATTTTAATATTAACAATGAATTGAGGATGTGTAATTAATACTTACTTTCAACTTGTTTTAAGGATTCCGGAGATCAATTATTCAACTTCGTGCCCAGCGCTGCATCTATATCTCCAAATGGAACGCGGCTCGGATTGGTATGCAAAAGAAAATCCGAAAAGACTACATGTTATACATATATAAAAAAGCGACTTCGGAGTGGTGCGAGCAAGGTTATTAAAATAGAGATCTATGATACTGATCAAATACAGAATAGTGACCAAATGTGTAAATGTGAAGCAGAATTGTGTGTGCAATACGCGGTGAGAAACATTTTATTGGATGACATTTACCACTCAACAAAAGATATTATAGATAAAATTATGTCGCCTCTAACAACAGACTCTAGTAATGGTTACACAATGTTGTAAAAATGTAGATACGTTTTATTAATAAATTATATTTGAAACATTCATTGTTTTTATCAATACCCGTTATTCCTTACCTTCCTTTTTTTTCGACGTAGTCGGGTAGAAAATTGAATAAGGAATAGAATATATAACAAAGCGTTAAGCTTACATTGCGAATTGCATCAGGTACTTAATCATGAATGATCGAGGCACGCGCGCATTTGCTATCGTCTCTGCGTAGCGGTGTCATTTGATAAGTATAAATATTATAAAATACCAGACCATATGCATTCAATTGGAAGCGTTGTGACATTGTAATACTTTGTTCTTAAAATAAACAGTGAATTGGTAATGTTCTTGAATACATAGAAATTGTCTACTATAGACGAAATTTGTCAAATAAAAAAGTTTTTTCAGACGACTTCTTGAAATAGATGTCTTCTTGAATAGATGACTTCTTGAATAGATGTAATGACTTCTTGAATAGATATTATTAGGGCGTCTGGATAACTCCTTGTATCCAGATGCCCTAATAATATACTACTCACACGAAATTAAACGTATTGTTTAAACCGTTTATTTTTACACATGTGCTTTATTAACATTAGCATTTACTTTAGTAGCCGTAGAGCTCCGTGTGAAAGAGTTCGTCCAGGGAAGTACTGCTTCGAAGGGTAAGGGTGCTGGTGAAATTACAGGCACATGGGATTTGTCAACTTATGTCTCAGGGCGTCTGGCGCAGTGGCACTCCCCTTAAGATTGTTATTTAAAACTCTCTCTCTGAGTGGCATTGCAACTGCTAGGGACTGGCGTGTCGTTTACCACCAGGTACACGACTTGTTCGTCCCGTCACTAAAAATAAACAATTGTGGTGGTCATAGAGGTCTGCTAACGGAAAATAACTCTTTGTTGATAGTTAACGCTATTCATTACGTTTTATTTGTAAAGATAAAGATAAAGATAAATTTATTTCAATATTACTTAATCTAATACAATTATAATGAAAACAATGTAATTGAAGATAAAATATTAAAATAAACAGTAATAAACAAAACAAAAAAAAATCTAAGTTATATAAAATAATCATGGTAAAATTAAACATTTTAATCTTAGTGCCTAACAGTGCAATTGCGATGCCTAAACTAAGTACATGTGTACCTGTGTTTTAGGCATAATAGTGCATTTTTCGTAACAAAGCTTAAAAAATAAAAGATTTTATAAATTTAACAAATAAAAGATAAGTAGTTATAAGTCGTTACAATTTATAAAAGATAAGTAGTTAAACATTGCATATTATGTAAATATAAATTATGAAATAACTTCCAACAAGTCCTCGGTATCATTGTAGGTTTTACTCGTAAGCCAAAATTTGACGGTCTTTTTACATTCAGTTTTATTCATATGAAAATAATGCAAAGTAGAATTTATTTTAAAATAAAGGAATGTGCCAAGGAAGCAGAAGAATCTATGTGAGTGTGCTGTGCGGAGTTGTGTACGAGATGAAAAGGGATCGTGTCGTCTTTGCTTAGTTACAGTCATGTAATCATATGGAGTAATT